ACTTGAAAGGTGGTGACTCAGCACTCGAATAGCGCTTTGATACTCTCAAAACAATTTCCTTCGATAAAACCTAGTATCAATACCACTAGGGTTTAGTCTAGCGGCAACCACGACAAATTAATAGTCTGACTATTATTATTATTATACAAGCGTTAAATAACACTCAATATAACTCATAATAGTAGCCCAAATATTTATTTTAAGGACCTAATAACATTACTATAATTATTTGAAAGATATATTAAAAATTGCATACGCGTAGCTCACTTACAGCGGATTTTAGATAAAATCGAGCTTTGCTCGGAGCAGCATTTTGAAACCAAAAGACCCTTTTTCTCGGGACTCCGGGAGCCTCAGGGCTTCCTTAGTGTGCTAGGGGGTTTACCTAGGCTTAGAAGAGGGTTAGGGGTAGTGAGAGAAAGTAGAGAGAGAATGTTGTGGTGGAAGGTGTGAAAAATTCGAGAGGCTTCGCCTCCCTTTTATAGGCCTCAGCCCCGGACTACGATGGGCGTACTGAGGCCCTTACGTGGGGTGTAATTCAGATAGAGCTGCCAGATGGCGAGACCTCGGTGGAGCGACGTGGCTTCTTTTCGGACCGCACAAGGCCAAAGAACGTTGGGCGTACTCCATTTCGGACGTTGGGCGTAATGCGAGGAGTGATGTGTCCGAATCCGAAGCAATGCTCTGATCAGCGATGGACGATCTAGATCGCGCCACGTCATCGAGTCCGCATCAGTTTCTCAATTTCCCCCTCCTACTTCTAAAAATCGTAACGTTCGCATACGAGCTCCGTTTTCGACGTTCTTTATATCCTCGCGAAGGTGGGAATGTAATATACGACTTTCGTTTAGACTCTGTCAACTAATTTTGACATTATTTTAAATGTTATATTATTAGCAGGCCGGGACATGATTGGTCTGTTAAAAATTCATAACTTCTTCATCCGACGTTCGTTATCGTCCATCTTTTTCTTGTTAAGCTACTCTTAATGAGATCTTCGATTCTCATTTAGGTCGTGTCGGCTAAAAACTGCTCGATCTAATATTCGAATTTTGGGTTGTACACTGCTAATCCGAAACATCGAAAAATCATAACTTCCTCATATGAAGTCAGATTCGGGCCTTATTTTTATGCACTCTCTCAGTTTAATGTATTATACGACTTTCATTTAGATTGCTAAGGCTAAATCTCGCTCTATCGTAAATTCAATATTTATACTTCCCGGTATCATGCCGGTTCCGTCGCGAAACTTCGACGGGTCATAACTTCTTTGTTATAACTCGGATTTCGGCGTTCTTTATATGTACGGAAACCTTTTGACATATACTACAACTTGGTTCAAATTATTTATTCTATATAATGTTTTGTCAAAAAGTCATTTTCGACCCTTATTGCCTCTAAATTGATTAGCCCGGATCTACCGGCGTTACAACGTAGAATAATTCCACTTTTCCCTTCTGAACTATGTCCCTAATGAAATGATGATGGATGTCAATGTGCTTGGACTTAGAATGTTGCACAAGATTTTGAATCATTTGGATGGCATTAATATTATCGCAACAAATAAGAGTCTTTGTGAAGTTGAAGCCATAATCTTGTAGCTGGTTTTGAATCCAAGGAATTTGAGCACAACATCTTCCAATAGCTATATATTAAGCTTCAGCATTAGAGCAAGATACTAACATCTACTTCTTGCTGGACTAGCTCACCAGTCTATTTCCCGATATTTGAGCTCATCCTGAAGTACTTTTTCGATCAATCCCTCACCCACCATGATCTAAGTTAGTGTATCCTACCAGCTTAAAATCGGAGTTATGAGGATACCATAACCTAAGATCAGTTGTATGTTTCAAGTAACGAAAGATCTTTTTACAATGAGAATACGAGATTCCTTAGGACAAGATAGATAACGAGCATAGAATATGGTGGTGAACATAATGTCAAGGCGACTAGCAGTAAGACAGAGAAGTGATCCTATCATTCCTCGATACAAAGTTGCATTCATATCAGTGCTAGTTGGACGAGCGGAGATAGACGTTGATGAAGACATTGGAGTATTCCCTAGTTTGTTATCAAAAAGACTAGGGGTAAAAAATCGGGCCATCGTTTCATGTTTTTGTCTGACATGACATAACACGACAAGGTTTTATGTAACACGAACACGACAAAACACGATGTCGTTTTTTTAACTAACACACAAATGAACTAATTAAAAAATGACATACACAACACGACAAAGATAATCTACTATAACAATTAGTTTATTTAATTAATATTTAATCATACATAACACAACAAACATGAAAAACATGACAAATACAAACATGGCACGACACAATATCGTGTTTTTTACACTTGACATGAACACGACACAAATACAAATTCAAATTTTAATTTTATCCCAACTTCATTTTGTTTCTTGTATTTTTGTCGTTTCGTGTCATTAATTGCCACCCTTAAGAAAGACCAAACTTCTTCAATGTTTGCAATGTATTTAGCTTGACAGAAAAAGATTCCATCAGTGAGTTGTTAAACCTACAAACCTAAAAAAAAAAGTTACTTCACCCATCATAATCATTTCAAATTTCTTTGCCATAACCTCAACGAAGTCAAAACTCAGTTTTTCACTAGTGGGTCCGAAAATGATATCATCAACATACACTTGATCAAGGATGATATGAGATCTTGATTGCTTGATGAACAAAGTGTTTTCAAATTTTCCTTGTTTATATCTACTCTCCAGAAGATAACTATATAATGTGCCATACCATGCCATAGGTGTCGGCTTCATACCATAGACAGCTTTATCAATACGATATACATGATTAGGAAATTCTTCACTTTCAAACCCTGGAAAGCTGACTTTACATCCATTTGATAGACCTTGAAGTTCTTGAATGAGGCAAAAGTAAGGAACATACGAATTGCCTCAAGTCTAGCTACATGGGCGAAGGTTTCATCATACTCCAAACCTTCCAACTGACAAAATCTTTGGGCCACAAGTCTTTCTTTGTTTCTAATAACAATTCCATCTTCATTCATCTTGTTCCTGACCACCCAGCGAGTACCGATAATAGTCCTTCCTTGTGGCCTGGGAACTAGATTCCACACTTGATGACGCTCAAACTCATTCAGTTCGTCTTGCATAACATTAATCCAGTCAGCTTCTTTGAAATCATCAATAACATTATTTTGTTCAATCATCAAGAGAAAGTTCACAAATAGGGCTGGCAATTCTCGACACGACACGCGACACGACCCACAACACGACATGAAATAAATGGGTTTGGGTTGAGTTTTTCAACCTGTCAACCCGCCAACCCGTTTATTAAACGGGTCATATATGGGTTTCTCAAAAAATAAATTGGTTGACCCACCAACCGGTTTATATTCTTAATAAAAAAAATTATTATATTTTTAAATGTATTTATGTGTCAAGTATTAATATTAATAAGTATTATATAATATATACCACTTATTTATAGACCATTTGATTGTTTTGACATTATTACTCGTGGTGGATGGTCTAAGGTTATAAGTCGTAACCTATAAGGCTAAATCTGTAACATGTTTCTATGAATGTTTTTAATTTTCATTTGGATGTTTAAGACTTAAATATCTAAAATTTAGACCCACGAACCCAAATCTGACCTACGAACCCGCCAACTTGTGAACCCGTATAAATAAATGGGTTGGTGGGTCATATATGGGTTTATGCTCCAAACCCGCCAAACTGTGACCCGCCAACCCGTGACCTGTATATTTAAATGGGTTGTGTTTGGGTTGGCATATTTTGACCCGCCAACCCGCCGACCCGCGACACGCCAACCCGAACACGACACGATTGCCAGGCTTATTCACAAACATGCAAGAGTTACTGCTGACTCTGCTGCGAGTAAAAATCTCATAATTGACATCTCCAATAATTTGAGATTCAGGATGATCTTGAAGAATTCTTGGATTAGAATTTTCATTCAAATTATTTGCAATTGAATCTTTTTGATTTGAGAAGTTGAATTTTTTTAAGCTAGAAGATATTAAAAGACTTTGGTCAACATATTTGTCAAGAAGAGGACGCACAGACGTTTTTAGATCTACGGTTTTCTAAAAACAAACAGTCTACAAAAGCTAATGTCTACGTATAGTCTGCATGGTGCAGACAAAAAAAGATGAAAAGAATCTAAAAAAAATAAAAAATAATACACAAACAAACAAACACAGGCTTAAGGAGTCATGGTGTTTGGTAACAAGGTTGCGGTGCTCGGGTCGTTTCTAAGGAGTTGCGATCCTGAGCGGCAAAACAATAGTGCTCAACCAAACCAAATGGTGACATATTGGGCTTTTAAGGCCCACGTTGAGTCCTAAGTCAACTTTTGTCATTATAAATATAAACATCTTAATATGCCTTTATAACCCAAAATAGAAAGACTGTGTGATGACTCTATATTCTACAAATCTAATAAAATCTCATTCTAGTTCGCTTTTACCTAATATTTCTAACAGTTGTAATTCTGTGAAAGCCATTCACAAGACGAGAAAAAATAAATTTGGGAATGTTTGATCGTCGATTTGACTTTATTCTACCTTGTGCTTCATCATGATAAATAGTAATGTTGTATATGGATGGAATTTACTTCTATTCTTTGGGAATAATGTTTGTAGGAACTAAAACTAGAGACAAATGATAGAAAATGCATGAAAACGAAGCAACATATTATGAGGAAATGGTAATCAACCCTAATATTATTATTATTATTACTATCGAAAAAGGGCCATAATATCATTGTTTTATTTTTTATACATTGTTTATCCTTTTGGACTTGTAGAACACACCTCATGAGATTTTTATTTACATTTATGTGCGTTTAAACCTTTTTAAAGTTGAGTTTTTTTTTTTTTTTCTTTAATGTACTTATTTTCAAAGTGTATAACGATTTTCAAAAGATGCTTAACATAATAAATGTAACCGATAAATTTATTTAAAACACAATAATAACAAGTTAATTTCAACTTTATTTTATTAACATCATATCAAACAATTAAACTAGAAAAAAAATAACTACAAAATAAACAAATCAAACGTCTCAAAAGTCTAATAAGAAAACTTTACTTAAAAATCACATATTATTGTTTTAACAAAATAGTTCTTGTAAATTGTAATCATACTTAATCATATTAAGGGACCGATATCTAAAATTCCTGATTACTCATTTACTTGAAAGAAACCTCCAAAAAATGTCTTTAGAACATTTCAAAAATCTGTTCAAGAGAAAATCAGAAAACCAAATTCAAATATTCAAGCAAGAAAAATCTTTGGTTTGTATGAAAAAAAATGAAAATATTCAAAAAGAATAACAAAAACTTACATTTATCGGCATTTCTGCAATCACAAGATTGCTGCTTTCCTCAATGGTTTTAAGAGTCACCACTTCTCCCCCAACAACCATGTTAATCACAATCCCATCTAACATTATTCAAGAACATAACTTTAAGATATTATTTTTATATAATTATTAATTAAAAAGTAACATTTATTAAAAATATATATGGAAAAAACCTGTAGCCAAACAAGTTGTCATTCGCCTCATATATGATTCCTGATAAATATCAAATATCGTTTATTAAACAGAATCTGTACATAAAAATAAATAAATAAGCTAGTTTATATGATTATATTTAGGTATAATTGTATGAGAGTACCTTTTTTGATGGGAGTTCATAGTTTATAAGAACACTAGAACTGATGGATGATTCTCCTGAAGCAAGAAGAGGAAGACAAGCATCAGTTGCAACAATCATATGAGATTTCTGTTCTTCCTTTTCATCTCCAGATTGAATGGCTGCTGAATTTTGCTTCCATTTTGTTGTTGCATAGCGAAATTTATCTAGAATCAATGCACGTTCAGCTTCAGCAAGGTCACTATACTGAGAAGAAAAGGTTCAGAAAATGGTGATAGAATGTAAATTATTGACCTTGAATGCAAAGATGTTAAGAGAAAAAGGTAGATGAAATACCAGAGGTGTAACAGAGATGTAGGAGATGTTGGAAATGGAAGAACAAACAGCATCAAGCTCATCTCGTGTGCTGCAACAAACCACCATTGGCAGCCATGGACGACGCCCTGCCATTTCTAATAGATCCACCAATGTCTCCTGTCGATTTTCACTCAAAACTTCAATAACAATCTCGAATTTTCTCCATGAATGTAATAGATGATTCCTATATACTTCCAAATTGCAGAGAAATATTGAATTACGAATCGGATTATAGTTGAAAAAATACACAATTTTCACCTCCGGATTGAGAATTGAACTTAATATGAAGGATAAAGGATTTTTAGGGATAAATTGAGGAAAGATCTAAATGAACATGGAGATAGAAAGTCGTGTATGTGGTTGAATTTTACAAAAGGGATAAAATGAATTGATGATTCCGAATAAGAAACGATTTTTCTTAACTGAAACTAAAATAGAGCAAGAGATTGACCATCTTAAACTGGATTCTGTCGACGGCGAGATAGAAATGGCGTTGTGGACTGCAATATACACAACATGATTCATCAAATTAGCTTCTCTATACATTCTCGCTCTAGCTGTGAAAACAAAATAGTTTCGAATCAACAAATGAATTACAGTGAAAAAATCAGATTCCGATACCTAATTGCAGCGGGAGCAGGGGAAGGATGTGAAGATGCCTCCATTATCTCCATCTCCGGCGAGAAACTCCGGCGAAAAAAAAAACCCTACCGATCCTTCGCTTTGCAACGCAGTCAGGCAATAAGGTTTTACCAGTTCGTCGAGCATCGTGACTTATTTTAAGTAGTTTACAAAAGTAGTTCTTAGGATTAATTAATTGTCATATTTACTCTTTTTTCTTTCTATTTTTCTATAAAGGTCCTTATCACTTGGATTTTTCCCCTTTTAAAAATGAGTTATAACTTATAATTTATAAACACGCCATGAGGATGGAGAGAAAAAGAAAGGGGTAATGACTTAGGAGGTAATTAGGTTTTTAGTTTGTCTATGTTAGATTACTAAGATTTTTTTATTTTTTTTTTATTTTTATTTTTATTTTTTTTTTTTTTGCGTATTAGATCAATATCATTGTTATTACCGTTTAGAAATAGTCATTTTTACCTGTTTCTTTGTATTTAACCGGTAAAAATGATTATTTCTAAACGATAATAACAACTATATTTGTCTAATACGCATAAAAAAAAACCTTAGTGACCTAATACAGACAAACTGAAAACCTAATTACTCTCCTAAGTTATTATCCTAAAAAGAAAATACTCGAACATGAAACTTTTGCAACGGTTTTTGCTACATAATCCTAATCGAGGTATAGAAAAAAAATCTATAAAAATATTTGAGTTTGATATTGTGATGATATAAAGTTTATTTCAATCTAATTATTCGATCTTATTATCTTACATCGAATCTTTTATATTTTTATAATATTTATAGTTTTGTTATTAATATATACGATTTTTAAAATTATATTTGAATATTATATGTGATATTATAAATACGAAGTTTATTATGTAATTAGTGTTTACATCATAATCCATAATATTGATATATAATACTTTCATAATTAAAATTGCAAAGTTGGACTCTCAAGCTCCTAGCATTTCGTACTCGATTATCCAAGTTGACCGTATGTTGAGTTGATGGCACCAGTATTCAACGACTTCTTTAGTTTCATTCATCTTTTGTCTCTATCGTCTCACCAATTCTCGAGTCATGATCATCTCTCACGTTTTTACTATGTGAGAAGTAGTAAAAGTTCCAAATGTTGCAAAGTAGCTAAAGTTGACAAAGGTTACTACAAAATCGAAGTTATCTAATAAAAAGTTGGAACATAAAGACAATTTTTTTTGAAAATCAAGTAGAGATTCTTGAGTTCATTACAACACTTAATAGGGTCAATATTCTAAATAGTTTCTTTTATAACAAAGACAATAACATTAAAATTAAAGAAGCTAGAAAATGATATAGTACAAAGTACAGTATGATTAATAAACCAATCAAACTAACATTACCTCGACAATTTAGCTATATACTTAATCTAATCGAAAGTCAGAAAGTTGAATATCATTCGCCGTTCTCATCAGATTGCACCTCTACTTTTTGAAAATGATATCATTCATAGCTTTCCATAAAGGCCACAACACTATATAAGCCAAAAAAACAATTTACATCTCCTTTTGTCAACCTTTCAGATAAAACCAAAATGAATGAAGAAAAGTTCACATGGGAACACCTATAGGTCTCGACCAAGCACAAAACCACTTCTCCAAACAAAACAATTCACTTTCAATGAGATAAAATTAATCCAATTGAAAGATAGGAGTCAAAATCACCCATGCACATTCCTAATATGCTAACCAAGAAATATCCATTTGCATTATCTTTAAAACTCCAAGAACTAAAAGATGTAGTCAACCTTACAATCTCAATTTCATGCGCAACTCCACAAGTTGATTCGTCTCTCTACCTCTTCTCAGCGGTCTATTCGAGCACCACATCGTCCCCATGTATTATGTGTTTACTTCTTTAAAATGACACGAAGACAAAAAAAAAAAAAAAAAAAAAAAAAAAAGTAAAAAAACAAAACAAAAAAAAAATAGTCCAAAGTTCTATGAAATGTGAAAAAAACAAATTAAAAGGTTCTTAAATATGACAAAAAAAATTTTGTTAGGTTCTTTTTACCCCTACTCCATTTTCATTTAATAATATTCTTAATGATTGCAGTTTATCTTTTTTTTAAATAATTAATCATCAATTAGTCTTGCCTTTTAAGTAATCATTATCATATAATTATTATTACATTAACTTTTTATATTTATTTCATTATAACTTAATCAATAAAACTTTAAGATTGTACTATAAATACTCATTTATTCATATACTATCGCAACACCATGATGCACAAGCATTATTACATTCATATTTAAGGGGTAAACAATATTAGAAGGGTATATATAAAAATTACAAAATGTTATTATTTAATAATTATATTTTTATTATTAACTTTACTAATAATAATAATAATTTGTCGTTGTCGTTTTATATATATATATATATATATATATATATATATATATATATATATATATATATATATATATATATATATATATATATATATATAATCTTTTTTACCTAATTTGATTTCAAAAAACTAACAAAATTTATTGTATTTTTTTGGAATATAAATATTTTAAATTAATAGGTATCCAATCTAAAGATGGCAAGTCGTAGAAAATTAAAAACTAATAACTTGTTTCAAAAATATGAAAAATTAAATTGATTCTTATTTTTTATGCTTACAAATATTTCTACCAAATAAAATTATGACAAATGTTATCATTTCATATTTTTTTTTAACTAGCTCGTTAAGATTATATTAGGAATATATCAAATAAAATTAAATTGAATTATAATTTATCATAGGTAAAAATATTTATAAGCATAAATGTAAGAGGTAATTCTCCAAAAATATAACTTCAAATAGTTTATAAATAGTTAAAACATTATATCCGTCAGAAATGATAATTTTTAATATTATCGCTTAAATTTAACTTTGTATATCACCCATTTCCAATTTCCCGTAATTGAACGACATAAGGAAGGCTAAAAGCCAAAATATATGCCATCCCTTCTCGTTCTTTCCAAACCTTCCTTTCATCTATCTTCATCATTTTCTAGATCCTTCCAATCCTTTCTTTCACTTATCTTCATCATTTTCTAGAGTCTTCAAAACGCTTCCTCTATTATCTTCACCTCTTTCTAGATCTTTCTAACTTTTTTTTTTTTTTTTTTTTCATTTTACTCTCTCCATACTAAACTCCAAAGAAAAGTATGAAAAACACATTTCGTTTTTATTTTTCTGCTTCCACCTCATAAATACTAATAATTCACAAAATATCAATAAACTACAAAATCAAAAATGTTTCATATATTGTTCGAATAATTGTTTTTTTTATCAAAAATAATATAATTAGTAAAAGTATTTTACAAAATAAATTATTATTTTATATTAAATATTCAAAAAAATATCACCTTCATCGTCTGTGCATTCAAACATAAATATATCTATTCAAAATTGAAGTACTCTATTTATTATTCGTTCAATTTCAAAGTATTTTTTTTTAACATATTTTATGCTTTAAATGTTATGTTATTAAATATATCCTTTAAATCCAACATTAGAAATTTTATTTTGAGACACGTGGCACAATTTTGTTCACAAAATTTTCAGCTTCCACACTCGTAAAGTAATAGCAGGGATTCGTTGTTCGTTGACGTCTAGAGCATCTCCATTCTCTAATAGCCATTGAAGGTAACCTCCATTTTCTTCTATTCTTCGTTTCAATTTTAAATCGAATTTTATAGTTTTCATTACTAATCAGAAACTTCTACATTCAAAACTGTAATTTAAATCCAAGTTTTTTTTTTTTCTCTTATCTTTAAAAACACCCCAAAGTTCTATAATTATTTATTTTTTTATTTTAGTTTTGTTTAAATCTTTTATAGCTTTAGTCTTCGACTCAACTACATGTCAATTAAACTCTCTTAAGAAAATGTAAATATTATTAAAACTTTTATAAATTATATTAACTATCAAATAAATCCTAAAACTCATTCTTTTATTCTTATAGTCATAACCAAGTCGTCCGATGATCTTTGCTTTTTCAATCTGAATGACTCCAATTACTCTGAAGATGAAGAAGAACTATGATGCCCTATCAATAAGGATGAAGGATAAGGTGAGAAAAGCCACAAGAAAGGCAACATCATCTTCATCAAAAGAAATGGATTCTATGGATGAAATGATTAACGAAATTTCTGGCAACATAAACTTGTTATGTTCATACATATAATGAGCAATTGGAATTCGAAAAAGGAAGTGCGAAGAATAAAAATTAGAGCACCAAAAATGAAGAAGAGAAGCCAAAGGACTAGGGTTAAAACATTTAATCGTTGAACAAAGGATCGAAGAAACTCATATGGCGATCCCACTAATGCAATTGAAAATTTCAGGGTAATACTAATGGTGAGTTCCTAGAATACATGTTAAATTAATATATTACTGATTTTGTAAAATATTATTATTTACATTATATCGGTAATTTATAAAATTCTAAAATGCTGAAAGGTAAGGAATAATATTTCTTGTCTTATATTACACATAGTCTTAAGATAATATTATACATGGTAGTCACTCTACTTAAAATTTATGATAATATTATATATGGTCATTATAATGGCCAATTCTTTAAGCTAATAATAGACGAATACTCGTATGTTGCGCAGAATACAATAATATATATTTGAAATTTTTACAAATATATGTTTTTTAAATATATCAATGATATTGTTATTAGTTATTTATGTAATAAATCTTATAATAAGTTTGTATAAACATTGTTTGTTTAATTATATGATAATGTAAATATATTTTAAAATTATATAATCCTAAGTGTATTAATTACGTCTACCTGCAAGGTTACTTATAAATAAAATTAAATATAATATATGATTTAATTACATATATAGTTGTTATGATTAATTAATTTAAAAAAGTTTATTTGCTTAAGATTTTAATTTCTATCATTGTAATTATTTAAAACATCAAACATTGTTTTAAAATTGAAATTTAGTTTATTTAGGTTTGGTATTTATTTAACTCTATTAATCAACTTATAATCATTATTAGAAAGACACTACAATTTATCACATTTAACTATTTACAAAATATTTGTTGGGTTGTTTAAGTTAAACTAAAATTTATATTTAAATTGACCCTGTAATGTTATATTTAAATTAATAATTTAAGTATTTTATACAAATTATTCCAAAATTGTATCTTTAAAATGATAATGGTTTACATCCGATACTATATTATAACTAATA